TGTGTGTAGGCCAGAAGTTAACCCTGGGTGTTGTTTCTTAGGAGCCATTCAGCTTATTCTTGAGACAGAGTCTTTCACAGGAACCCGGGCTCCCCATTAGGCTAGTCTGCCTGGCCAACCAGCTCCAGGGATCTGCCTGTCTCCACTCTCCCTGGCCAGTGCTGGGATTAGAAGTCCATGCCACCACACCATCTTTTTTATAGGTAGATTCTGGGGATTAAACTCAAGTCTTCATGCTCCAGTGGAAAACATGTCACTGACAGATCCACCTCCTCAGCCTCGTTATTTAATTTTTAAAACATTTTTTTTCTGTTGTTGTTGTTTTGAGACAGGTTCTGGGTGGCCTGGAACTCACTCTACAGGCTAGGCTGGCCTCATACTCATAGAGATCCTCCTGCCTCTTCCTCCCGAGCCTGGGATTGTAGACATGTACCACCATACACAGCCTCCATTGCAACATTTTCATACACACAGATATAATGGATTTTAATCATATTTCTCCCTTATTACACTATAATTTTGCTCTTGTGATTCTGGAGGTTTGTCCTGTGCTAACTTTATTAGTAGCTTAACTCTCTTCAGATGTTAAATGTTTACCCAAAGCATCTAATTGGACAGAAAAATCTATTCGAGCCTCCAGGAGACCCAACAAAAACACCAAATTCTGTGCCTTCTTAGGGGAACTCGGTGTATCGAAGAAACATTCCCAGGGCAGAGACACTTACTGCAGAAACGATGGTTGCTATAACGTACTCACCATAGTTGTCTCAGCAATGGAGCCGAAGCTGTTGATGAAGATGTTGCAACTCACGTTCACAGGGGGACCTACCAATCAAGAGAGAGTCTCACTAAGTCTCAGGCTGTAGAGAAACTAACTTCAAGGACAGACCTCCCCATAGGGCCAAGGAGCCCCCTGCTTGTTATCCACCCCCCACCTAAGTGTCTGGGACCTCCAGCTTTCATTTAGCATCTCTGCCAGATTAGACTCCCCAGCTTCCAGGTAATGGGCAGGTACACCTCACAGGAGGCTGAGCCAAGCTGTACATTCATTAACACAGGGTGATTCATCATCCTGCCATCTGGCTGAAATCCCTTCCCCAAGCCCCATCAGGCCTTCTAATTTGTGTCTGAGATATATTTATGGCTACAACATTTGGAGGCCATCTCAGGAATGCAAGGAACAGCAAGTTTTTTTGCCTTGAACTTATGAACTGAGAATGAAGAGGTGATGATGGGAATTACCAGGCGAGGGATCTGGAGGGAGCCTGATGGACAGTCCACAAGCCTTTGTTAAATACTTTGTGGACAAGTATTTTTTTTTCAGCCCCGCTATGTCCAGAAAATAAAGGAATGAACGCCATCACCTTGGTACTTGTTTCTGGGGGGTGACTCTTCCTGGATGAAGCCGGGATCCTTCATTTCACACTGAGACTGGCAGCAGTTACCAACCCCTGAGTTGCTTCAGTGAGACCTTGCCTGTCATGATCTCACCGTGTCCTCCCAACAGCTCTGTGAGAAGGCTGGTTATCACCCACATTGTGCAGAGGGTGAGAGGGGCCAAATTATTCATCTATGGTCACACTGCTAGAGAGCGGTGAAGCCAGGCTTCCAGTACTGATTTGTCTAATTCTTAACAGCTATACCATAGGAAGCAGGTTGAGAGGGAGGAAGAAGCAGGGTCATGTAGCCAGGGGCAGAATCCAGAACCAGTGTGTGTGTGTGTGTGTGTGTGTGTGTGTGTGTGTGTGTCTGTGTGTGCGCGCGCACACAAACACAGGTGGAGGTCAGATGGTCACCTTGGTCATTATTCCTTAGGTGCCTCCCACCTTGTTTTTGGAGACAGGGTCCCTCACTGTATTAGTTACTTTTCTGTTGCTTTGATAAAACACCATGATCAAAAACAATTTCTGGATGAAAGAGCTTGTTTTGGGCTTATGGTTCCAGTCAGGTAAGAGTCCATCATGGCAAAGGGGACATGGTATCAAGGGGCAAATGTGGCAGAATGGTAGCAGGAGCAGACAGCCAAGAGATCACAACCTCAAGCATGAAGGGGAGAGAGAGAGAGAGAGAGAGAGAGAGAGAGAGAGAGAGAGAGAGAGAGAGAGAGACAGGGCAAAGCTATATGCTCTTAAAAGTTGTCACCCAGTGCATATTTCCTCCAGCAAGGCTCAACCTCCTACACCTCCCCAAACAG